AAACATGACAAATCTCATTGTTCATGGTGCTGTCCGAACATATATCATGGTAATTTATCCTTCTGCTCTATACACTCAATCTACAGCTACATCAACCAGTCTAACATAGAAAACATAAACTTTGTGGCAAGTCTACTGTTGAGGATTGTTGGGAGGAAGTCCCACATTGGCTAATTTAGAGAATGATCATGGGTTTATAAGTAAGGAATACATCTCCATTGGTAAGAGACCTTTTGGAAAAATCAAAAGCAAAACCATAAGAGTTTATGCTCAAAGTGGACAATATCATACCATTATGGAGAGTCGTGATTCCTAACATGGTATCAAAGCCATGCCCTTAACTTAGTCATGTCAATAGAATCTTCAAATGTCGAACAAAGAAGTTATGAGCCTCGAAGGTGTAGTCAAAAGTGACTCAAGTGTCGAACAAAGGGTGTACTTTGTTCGAGGATTCCAGAGAAGGAGTCGAGCCTCGATTAAGGGGAGGTTGTTCGTGGGCTCCATAGACTTCAGGGGAGGCTCTATAGCATACTTTGTTCGAGGGGAGAATTGTTGAGGATTGTTGAGAGGGAGTCCCACGTTGGCTAATTTAGGGAATGGTCATGGGTTTATAAGTAAGGAATACTTCTCCATTGGCATGAGGCCTTTTAGGGAACCTCAAAATAAAGCCATGAGAGCTTATGCTCAAAGTGGACAATATCATACCATTGTGGAGATCTATCATTCCTAACAAAGTCTAGCAGTTTGTCCGTGTTGGATGAAAATCCTACTACAAGAATCTTTGCCTCTAAATAAGTCTAAGTTTTGGTAATAATCAATGATTTAGAAAACAAATCATAGTATCAATGGAAAACACAAATTTAAACCAAACACTACCAAGTTTCATACTTTTTACATATGCTAGAAGCAATAAGCCAATGATCGACTCCTTTTACTATTTTGTCTTAGAATTTACACGGAGTACAATAACATTTGTTAGTATTATCTCTCATTATAATCTATCTTTGAATATTACACTTTATAACAAACAAATATACTCACTTATCAGAGGGATTCCATAAATGAGATACTGCGTTATGGAAGCAAGAATAGACTGCCAGAAGGCTTGAAAGATCAAATGTTGGCGCACATGCAGCTCAAGTTCAAGACAGCAGAGTTGAAGCAAGAAGAGGTGTTGGAGGATTTACCTAAAGCAATCAGATCCAGTATTGCCCAGCACCTTTTCGGACAAACAGTTGAGAGTGCATACTTATTCAAGGGGATCTCTGAAGATCTCATCGTTCAATTGGTAAAAGAACTTTTTCCCTGCTCAAGAGAATGATTTCATAAAAAAGAGCATTAAAACAGACTCCCAAGTCATGCAGCATGATGTAAAAAAGTAGAACTTTGAAGCATTTACCTTCACCATGTAACAGAAGAATGTCTGGAAGATATCCCCAGCCACTAAAACTTGTTGCTATTCTCAGTTTCTCCTGATGGCCAATTATATATTTGTACAGGTATCTGCGATGAAAGCAGAGTACTTTCCACCTAAAGTTGATATCATAATACAAAACGAGATACCAACAGATTTCTACATTTTGGTGTCTGGATCAGTGGTATGTAAAATCTCGTCTTTTTCGATGTGCATTCATGTTATCTTGGAATCAAATCTAAACTACACTTGTGAAAATGCAGGATATGATATCGTACAAGAATGGAAATGAACAGGTAACATAAGAGTACTTCATTGTTGAGTTCAAAGGTTATTGCCTATTTTTCTGCTATATATCCTGCAAGAAATTAACCAGTCATGCCCAAATAACATATTCTGACAAGGTAAACTTAGATGATGAAGAATTTATGATAGTATTAGGGAAATAAACCTATCCCGACCTAAGCATTCTTCCTAGACAAACACTCTCAACAAAACAAGGAAGACTTACAGTGATAACTAAATGAACCTGATTTTTCTCCTCTTTTTTACAATTTTTTAATGAATGGCTTTTCAGGTTTTGGCAAATCTGGAATCTCCACAGATGGCAGGGGAAATTGCTGTAATGTTGAATATTCCACAGCCATGTACAGTGAGAACTAAAAGACTCTCCCAAGTCATCAGGATCAGTCACCATCATTTTAAGCAAATTTTACAATCAAACAATGAAGATGGAAAAATCCTTCTCTCCAACTTCACTGAGGTTAGAAAAATAGTGCATCGGTAATACAAGTATTATCAGCTAAGCAAATTATGTCAGAATCCTTTGAGATTAAAGATACACCATCAAGATAGTAACTGGATAAACTTGCGGTTTATAATCTTACTAAACCCTCTGTTGTTTAGTATACACGTTTTTTTATGCTGACTTTTGCACTGCACTATCAGCACTTGAAGGGGTTAAAAAGGGAGGAGCAAAACGAGATACCCTACTTTGCAGAATTTCTGGAAGACCTAAATACAGAGGTACTATCTTATATCTCAATAATGAATAGTGTACTACAATTTGGACGTACTTGTTTTGTTGACTATTCCAAATTAGTAGTTAGTGTAAACCAAATATCAAAAGCCTTGTTGTTTTGAGTAAGAAGTGTACAGGAGAAGGGATGATTACAGAATCCTGTACACTTCTGTAATCAGATATCACCTGCAGAATCCTTCTTACTGATATGAAGTGTAATAAGCACCTGCAGAATGTGCATACTAAACAGACAGGAGAAAGAAGTGACAATTATTTACTGAGAATGGATGCAGGTGCTTATTAATGGTATCAACCGAAACAACAAAATAGAATAGTTGTCTATTTTCTCATATTCACAATAATTATGAAGGATCTTTTTTTAGTCGAAGAATGACCTAATGCAAAAAAGGAAAAAACTTAGCTAATAAATATAATTAAGGAAAATATCAAAAACATATTACTGCACTCCCCTCAAATTGGTTTGAAGATATCTTCTTTTGCCAGCTTGTGGATCAACTTGTCAAATCATTACCTTGGAGGTCCCTTAGTTAACATATCAGCAATTTGCTATGTGGTAGGAAGCTAAGGATTACATATCACTCTAGTATCAATCTTCTCCTTCATAAAGTGTTTATCAACTTATATATGTTTTGTCCTATCATAAAGGGGTGAATTGTGAGCTATGGAGATGAGTGCCTTATTGTCACAATAAACACGCATAAGCACCCTCTCAAATCTTCCAGTAGCTTTTTTATCCAAATATCTTCACAAATGTCATGAGCTAAAGCCTTGAATTATGCTTCAACGCTACTTCTAACTACCACACTTTATATTTTACTTAAGGATCTTGTAAACTATATCAAAGTGAGTTGGCCCTGGGGCATACATGAATTGCCTTACCAATTAGTCGTTGGTCTAGGTCATTGAGTCGTTGGTTATAGGTTGCAGGTCCTTGGTCACTAACAAAGATTAGCTGCAAGGTCTCGTGGTTGGAATCACTATTCCTGAGTCTGAGTGGAACAGTAGTAGACTCCAAAGCAAAGCACGATGATGGTGATTGGTAGCTAGGGTTAGGGTTAGAATATTTTTAGGGTTTTATTTTTTGCTCAAATACTTCAACAGAAACAATTAAAAAGTCCAGTTGTCTATTTTCTTATATTCACAATAGCTGCAAGGGACCTCTCTTAGAAAGACCTAAAAGGAAAAAACTTGCACAAATAATGACAATACAATAATGCCTAATAAACAACATCTACAAGCCAGGGATTTTATACAAAAATTAATATCGCATTCATGATTTAAGAGGGGATCGAATTGAAAGCTCAGGTTCACCTATCTAAAGGATCAGAATTTGCTTTGCTCATAAAGTAGTGAAATCCTCATGAGTAAATCTGCAGTTTTTTCAAGCTTGAAAATCAGACTTCCAAATATAATCTATACAAGTGAGAACTAGATTCGAGGAAAATGTTTATGCATTTGGTGATGATATGTTTTGCTTTGCAGCGTACAGAGCCAAATGAGAAACAAAATCAAAGAGTACCTTATCATGGTGATAAAAAAATGGAAGGTAAGTAGATTGTGCAATGCCATTGACAGTTATAACATTATTTTTGTACTATATTATCCAAGAGAACATGCATAAAGTGGATAAATGATTCCTTGGTTGCAAGTTGGAACAATATCCGAGCACATTCTAAATTCATCAAGACATCATGTGTACAAGAACTATTCAAGTAAACTATACTGAATTTTATCAGAAGTATATACATTCGCCTCTTTAAAAACAGATCATGCTAAATGCTTCTCGATAGTTATGGTTAAATCACACTTCCTAGATTTTTTATTCTCAATCAAGTTACTCTTATTCGAGTAACTTGGATATCATATTTTTTCATATGTTGCTTGAGACCATCTGCATCATAGAACTTCATGTAAAAGTTTACTAGGGGAATTGTTCTTGGATAAGCATATCAAAGATTGTACAATAAATTAAAACTTCATATAGATCAATTCACACAATTATGTTACAGGAAGACCAAAAGCATCGAAACAATTTCCACCTACAAATCCCATCAGGGTGATAATCCACGGGCACCATCCAGATGAAAGTACAGAAGACGGCAACAGTATGGGAAAACTGATACTTCTGCCTAAGTCAATTGAAAAACTTTTCGGATTGGCAGGTATTATACTTAGATTTGTGTAACTTAACATTTACTTAGGGGAGGAGACGGTGAAATAAGAAATTTAGATAAATTACTAAGTTTTCATGTCTGACAAAGAAGACAGTTTAAATATTACTCTTACCACGAACTAGTTATCATGGTTCGAATATAAGTTATACTATAAAGTTCAGGATCAAACAGAACAAATCAAAGTTGAAATTTTACTTGAAAATTATATAGAGTTTGTCTTTCATGTACTCGATGTACATTTTCAATGTCGATATAGATGACGTTTGTTGAATTAGAATATAACTGATTAACAACAAAATGCAGGGAAAAGATTTGGCAAGAGAGGGAGCTCAATTCTCATGGCTGATGGCTCTAAAATAGAGGACTTGAATGTTTTAAGAGAGGGTGATCATTTATTCTTTGTTTGAAGACAAAAATCATATCTGCTTGGTTTACGTAACACAAGGCCTAAATGATGACATGCGGTCTTCGACTATCAAGAAAAAAGTGATGAGTCACGGTGTACATACATAAAAGGGGTACGTATTGGCTGAAATGTGCAGAAACTTTGAGAGAAATCTTACAACGTTCCCCATCCGTTGTTGAGCATGTCTAAAACAGTGTAAACAGCTTGTTGAAATTGTTGTTTCTCTTCCTCTAGGACTCTCGAGAGCAGAACGCCTGCACTTTTCCATGTCTTCAAATATTCCAGCAGTGTTTCGATCAATTTCACTGAAAACAGTTGATAACGAGAAGACTAAAGCAGCATTAGGACGTAGACGTACTATTATTAAGTTTTATGCAATTAAGTTGAGTGTCGTTACGAGAGAAGATTCAGAAAATAATGGGCAGAAGAGGAATGGGAAGATAAATGGTATTGGCGGGTGACAAAGAACAGATAATGTCACCAAACTAGAATATATTTAAACTTGACGACTGGGAGAACGCTCTATTATGAAGACGGAAGAGAGGTAAATAAAACTACTTTTCGAACATATCATTAAATTGGCTACGCATGTAAAAATAGTCATCTTTTTCGCTGGCACAAAGTTCTTAAAAGAATTTATTGAAAGCATGCAGTAGAATCTAAACATGTCATCATACAATTTGCATTCCCTCGACTTCATGTAATATTTCGAAGAGTGCATGCTTTTTAAATCCTTTATATGAAAATTTTAAAATTTCATTGTCAATATAAGGATGATATCAATTCATTTATTAGTAATGAATAAACCAGAATCATCAAGTTCGCGTGTAGGTAATCTTTTCTCTCCCCTCTAGCAGCTTGTCAGTTAACATTACCCACAATTTTTTTTTTCAGAAAAAGAAGAAAGTAAAACAAACCTGTTCATTCTAAGCATGTTCTCCATAGCAACTTGGGCCTGTTGTGATATATCTGCGCGCATATAAAAATTAGATCCAGCGTTCTCAAATCAAACAACATAGAATAGGGCGTGATTAACGCTTCAACGGGAAATGAAAGTAAGAGAGAAAAAAAAAAAAAAAAAAAAAAATTT